AAAAAAAAAAAAAAAAAAAAAAGAAAAGAAAAGGAGTCCCTAGGCTATACAGAGCTGCAGGGCAAGGGCTCATTCTCACCTCTAGATGGGTCGTCCATCCTTCCATAACTGTGTTCCTTCTTTATTGGGGGTACTGGGACTCGAACTCAGGGCCTCACACTTGCCAGGCGCTGTGCCACTGAGCTACACCCCCAGCCCTCAGCCCTCATAACCATATCCCTATTCCCTTCTTTTGTTAAACTTTTATTTTATTTGCTGTGGTCAAGACTGAACCCAGGGCTTCACCCATGCTAGGCAAGTGCTTTACCTCTCAGCTATAGTTCTAGCCCTTAGAGAAGCTTTATTTTATTTATTTTGATTTTATGACACCGGGTCTTGCTATGTAGTCCAGGCTGGCCTTGAACTCACTGTGTAGCCCAGGCTGACTTCAAACTCAGAGTGATTCTCCTGCCTCAGAGTGAGCCTCTGGAGTGTTGGAATTACAGGCATGCACCACTATGCCCGACTCAAGAAACTTCATTTTAAAGTAGCTTTACATTTTCAGAAAAGCTATGTCAAGAGTACAAAGTTCCTATCTACCCTCCACCCAATTCTCTCTCTTTGGTTAACATTTTAGACTGTATGGTAATTAGTCACAAAATGAAAGAACCAAGCTGGATTTGGTGGAACAGGCCTGTAATCTCAGCTTTCTGGGGGGCTGAGGCAGAAGAATCACATATTTGAGCCCAGCCTGGGCAACCTGGAGACTTAGATCCTGTCTCATAATAAAAATTTTCTTTGAAAAAAAAAAATCGCTGGGTATGTTGGCACACACCTATACTTCTAGCACTTGGGAGGCTGAAGCAGGAGCATCACTGCAAATTCAAGCTACCCTAGAGGACATAGTGAATTCAAGGCCAGCCTGGACTACATATCAAGACCCTGTCTCAAAAAGCCAACAGAATTTTTTTGTTTGTTTGTTTTAAAGGCTGGGATGTAGCTAAGTAAGAAGGCCCTAGGTTCAAATCCCCGTTGCCAAGCCCCCCCAAAGAAGGCTCTGAGGGAGTACTCATCAGGTATTTTAGAGACAAGTCCTCGGGATTTGACAAATGGTTTTCTCCTAATGGGACAGGGGTTATGTATTTAGGAGACCCCATCCTATGGAGAGTACGTGCTAGTGCTGTGACTTACCACTGTTGATGCTGACCTTGAAATTATGCTCCACCTTGGAGAAGAAATGTATCTATTCTACCCTCCTTTGTTCATTAGCTTGGACTCCTGGTTATAACCCAATATTGTTTTATTGTGCTCTCCCCCCACCCCACCCCCCGCCCCGTGGCTGTGGTAGTAATGGGGATTGAACTCAAGCAGTGCTGAGCTACACCCTCAGCCCTTTTTATTTCCTATTTTGAGACAGGGTCTTGCGAAGTTGCCCTAGCTGGGCTGTAACTTTTAATCCTCCTGCTTTGAGACAGGGTCTCCCTAAATTGCTAAAGCTGGCCTCAAACTTTCAATCCTTCTGCCTCAGTCTCCTAAATTGCTGCAACAGCTGTGCACTCTAGGAATTTGGTTATTACTGAGGTATAACTTACATACCGTTTCGCGTGCATACTTGGGCAAGTCTTAACCAGTACTTCTTCCTGCGGGGTCCCAGTATTTGTCCGGGTGCACCACAGGTGGGCGCTAGTGGGAATGTGTGGGGCTGTAATCCCAGCACGCTTGTTCATGGACCGGAACTGAGTTTCTCAGACAGGGGTCCGGGTGGGTGACATAACTTCTCATTTCAGGTCTAGAAAAGCCAAAGTTCCCCATCGGGGTAAACAGAGTCGCTAAGGGGCAAAAACATACGCGCATCAGCAATTATTTCCTCTGCAGTCAGTAGCTCAGGAATTTTGCTAGCGGTGCCAGGGAGGGGTCTGGAGCGCAAGGTGCCGCCGGTAGTGAGTGACACGACCGGCTCCGCCCCGCTCCGAGCCCGGGCCAGGCGAGGGGTGGGGGTGAGGGTGGGGTAGGAGGGT